TTTCCCTCAGGGGTTCATAAGTCTTTGTTACAGCTCTGGTACAGCTGTAAAACATGTGATTCTACAGCAGATCACTTCAAGCTCTGCAAAGAACCAAAGTACCACCCATGTTCAGCAGCAGTATCTGAATGTGTGAATCCTTATACTTCACTCCTCAGAGTCCTCTGTGGTCTGACTATGGGACCATTATTTTCTACATAGAATAGAAAAGCACTTGGCAGCTTATCCTGTAGGCTTGTTGAAGAAATGTTACAATCTCAACCTACATGTATGTGCTTGAGTGTGTGTGTGTGATACGGGGTATGAGTGCGGGCCGCAGGTGCCAGACAGGCTGCCGTTTCACACTCGTTTTCTGTAATTGGCCCAAGCCCCTCGTCTTCCTCCAATAGGACCCCCCTCAAATACACACACACACACACACACACACACACACACACACACACACACACACACACACACACACAAACACACACACACACACACACAAACACACACACACACACACACACACACACACACACCATATCACGCACACAGTGTTAGAGGAATGAAGCAAGGCCAGCTTGGGCCTGACGCCACAGCAACCATGACGCCAGCCAATTATAGCACGGCAAGGCAAGGATGCATGATAAAGTCACCTAGCAACTGAGAGAAAGAGAGAAGAGAGGAGGGGGGTAGTGGTGTGTGTGTGTGTGTGTGTGTGTGTGTGTGTGTGTGTGTGTGTGTGTGTGTGTGAAAGAAAGAGAGAGAGAGAGAAAAAGAGAGAGTGAGAGAGCGACTCGGAGAGAGATTAACAGGCATGGACAATCCACCAGCCACCAACCAATTATGGAAGAGTGTGATGCAGTTGCTTGGCAACCCAAACCGAATAAGCAAAAGGGAGAGAGTGAGAGAGAGAGACAGGTTGGAGTTTGGATTCTATGAGGATGTCGAGAGGTTACAGCAGGGCTTCTCCTGACTCCACATGAGGTTGTGGTGTCACCTATATTGGGTGGGGGTGGAGGTGTCGACTTAAACCGGAGTGACCAGTGTTTTAACCTGCATGACAGAACACAGACAGAATACACCTCACATCACGTAATATTGAGTCACACAATACAAGCATCATCATTATGAGGTTATGCAGATTTCATTGAACATGCACCTCATGCTTCACAAATGTTAATGCGGTCCCACTGCTCTCGAATGCAGTGACTCAAGCAAGGTACAACAGTATGCTAAAGAAGTTTCCGAACCACACAGACCTGAATGGAAAATAACGCCTCTCCTTCACTACATGAAACTGTAACCTACTGATTTGTTGTTGAGGAACTGCTGCATGTGACATAGGACTGTTGAGGAGTGTCTGACTCTGTATTTACACACTGTCACCTACACCCGCCTGTGATGAACTTGAAAATGTTGACAAGTTCAGGACCCAGTCTGGGTGAAACGTGGCCAGCTGAAGTGTCACCCTGGTTAATTTTGTTTTGTAAAAAAAAAAACTGATGGAGGTGAATTTTTATTTTATTTAAACAATTCTATTGCTTAATGTTTTTAAGAAATAACTAATTCTACAAACAACAAACAATCACAGGTAACTACATGCTTACCGAATCTTACAACATGAACTATACTATTGTACTATTTCAAAATAAAAAATGTTATCTTTGTAAAAATGCATAAAATTCTAATACTGTAAACAGTTCAGGATCACCACTATTGATACAGCTCACTTATAAAGGTATTTGTTGCATATTGTGGCTGGTGGTTGGTTGGCAGTGACATTCTGTGCTCTGGTTACACAGGTATAATAGAAAAGGTAAAATGCAATTTATATAATTCCTAATTTATTTACCATTCTATAATAATTGGTTATATACTCCCCCCTTTTAAGGTTACATACCGACTTTACGTTTTTTTGTCGTTCTCCTCTCCTCCTCAGTAAAAATACTTCCAGGAGCTACTTTATTGCACACTGAGTTTATCTGTACACTTTATGGCTGTAACAAGGCTGCTATTCATTTGCTTCATTAACTATTTCTGTTGCTTCAGCTGCATCGCTCGGATAACGTGAAAGGTTCAGTTAGCGCAACATACCTGCTAACTTGCACTAAATCACTCACACTGAGTGAGGTGCTGCAGACTGCTGAGAAATTCATTTTCACTTTAACTACCATTTTCTTTTCTCTTCCTCTCTTGCTGAACTTATGTGGCCTGTGGCTGACAAACGGGCGTTTCTGCAGTTTGACTACATCACTGCTGTTTGCATCTCTATTTTATACAACAACAAAAAAAGACACCAGTGATATATGCTTACACTGGTTCAGCCAATGTATCTTTTATTACTTTGTTTAATCAAACAATGCATTAATAATTGTAACTAAATTAAGTTAGGAAGGATTTTGACTGATTGCCTGCAGAAGCTAGGTATAAGATGATAATGACAATCAGCATTCCAGCGAGCTGCAAAGTAATGCATGCAAATCCTCATATTTTATTGCTCTTATGTATTTATTCATCTACTTTTTTGGCTGTAGAACAAAACTCCTCCACACTGAGCTCATGCTCATTCAAAAATGTGCAGCAAAGACTTTTGAAAGGCAAAGCCTCTTTCCAAAACTGGCCAACTATCCCGCTAACTTGGCTGCCAAATATGTAGTTAAGTATATTATGTTGAAGCGCAAAGTGATACAATTAGCTGTGTACTGCTTTTAAAGATCCAACCACATCCAAGAAACTGAAAAGTAAAACAGTGGAGAACTAGACAAACCCTGGCTGCGACTCAGAACAGCGCCGGATGGGCACTTTAGAGATTAAGTGAATTCATTTGCGTCTATCCGTTGCATCTATTAATGTTTCTGTTCACCCCTAATTGAACATTTCCGTATAAGAAAGGAAAAAAAAGGAGAAATTGTTTTCAGTATGAACGCTTTAATACGTTTTCTACAAAAAAAGGAAATGAAGCACACGTGCAGCATAGCCGCTGACAGACCTCAATATAATGATGTTTCTAATGGCCTCTGGTGTGCACTATGTGACAGTAACTGTATTGACACTGTGCAGGCTTTCTACTGCTGCTCCTCCCTGTAGTTTCTGCTATGCTAATCCCTCCCTACATGTATGTTCAATGATTTATGGTTATAATAACCCAAAAAGAGGATTAAGCTAATTAAACCACAGCACTGCGCTTGTAATGAACACATCGGGAGGGAATACACCACCCCCACATTTATGCCACACACACGTGCGCGCACACACACATACAGAGTGTGGAAGCTACTGTGTCTTCAGGGTGTCCTCTTCGTCTTTTTTCCCCACAGTGAATGATTCTGCCTTTAAAAGCTCATCGTTGGTTAGCATGACTCGTCTGTGGAATAATCAGAAGATTAAAGATACCCGAGCTCGCGTCAGGGCACCAGAAAACTAGCGGCTCCACTCTGGATTAGCTACAATAAAGCTACAGTGGTGGGTTCCCCCAGCTATGCCAGGTGCTGGCCTGGAATGTAATGCTATACTTAAAGCCATGCAATGGTTGCTGGGGATCATATAAGCCTGTAACATGCTGGATTTATGATGCCAAAGTTGCCGGTATTAATACAGACGAGGTCTTCAGGCTACGTACTGTGATCCTGGTGAAACTGCTAACACTGTATGATGACAACTGGAGGACATAAACCACTACAGTAAATGATGGTGTGGTTAAAGCTAAAGTTGAATAATGCTACCTTCAGGTGGTACAAATCTGCACATCCCCTATGCTGCAGATAAATGATGGGTTCAGCCCGAGTCACTCAGGCAGAAGTTTTTAAATCCAGGAGGCTTTTTTTTGTTACCTCGAAACTGATGAGTGGATTTGTCAGAATGTGAAACTCAACCGTGCACTGGTTCCTGTCACTAAAACTAGAGATACACTATGCTGCCAAAAGTATTCACTCACCCATCCAAATCATTGAATTCATGTGTTCCAATTACTTCCCTGACCGGAGGTGTATAAAATCAAGCAACTGGGCATGCAGACCGCTTTTCCAAACATTTCTGAAAGAATGGGGGGGGCTCTCAGGAGCGCCAGCAACTCCGCCATGAAGTGTTCGGCCATGTAAAATCACAGAGTGGGGTTAGTGGATGCTGAGGTGCGGAGAGTTTTGTTGAATGGGTTTCTACCCTGGAGCTTAATGATCCAGGTATGAGTCAGGTATTTATAAGCCATAAATACCATATTTCGGTTATTTATCTGTTATTTGTTATGACTAATGATAAATGTCTTGGTAAAAGCTTTTAAATCTGAATAACCTTCAGAAACATGGATCTGCTTCTCTGTCATAATTTACTTTGTGACCTATACAGATGGATTATTACAGAGTAAAATACAAGGAATATAAAGTTTATTCATCTTAGGCTACATCAGTCAAATCCATCTTTGATTATGAGTCTACTTCAACAAGCCAAAGCCTGTCTCCTCATGCTTTCACTACAGAAAACTCGCAGCTCCCTGCCCCTTCCTGGTCGCATTAGCCGGCATGTGTTCTGTTTGAGGGTCACAGATGGGGCAGCTGCAGTAAGCAGCTAAAGCTGCACGTCAGACCCAGTTGGACACGGCTGAATTCGCAAAGTAATTTACTACCAGTCTATCAATCATCAGGCAATTACTGAGGCAGGGCCTTTCTGGCACTGAGGTGATATCAAGAAGCAAATGAATAATTCTGGAGGATCATCTGAGAAGCACAAGAAGAAGAAAAGAGCTTTTAATCTCTTTTAAAAATCCATCAGATGTTTTCTTTGCAGATTTCTGCGGAAACTCAACCAAATCATAGTGTGAAACATCATAAAACAGCACGCTAAGCCGTACTCAAAGCTTCCAGCTCCAGGCTAGAGTCTTTAATTCAAAATCAGAAGCTTCTAACCCGCAGACATCATCAGACAACACCTCTTCCCTCCTTGCCACGTGGAAAACTTTAAGTTCATCAGAAACACTAGTGGCATCGTGAATTGAATTCCTGGGAATGCAATTAAGGTTTTACCTGTGTGGGTCCTCTGATGTGCCTTCAGGTGGGAGCTCTTGGTGTAAACCTTCCTGCAACCATTAAACTGGCACCGGTGGACTCTCTTCTTGTTCTCTGGTACGTCTCCTGCCAGACTTCCCACCCCTCCCTGCTCGCTGTCACTGAGGGCTCCTCCTCGGCCTGGTGGGGATGGTAACGCTCGCGCTGCTACCAGCTTAGCCGCCCCTAATCCCACCTTCTTTGCCACCAGTTTGAGCGTTAATGTGCCGTCTGCTGTTGCAGTGAGCGTCTGTGTGGGCTTAATAAGGTGTCGGCCAAGCTCCGGTGATGATGGCGGTGTTAGGGAAGTGACAGCGGCACTAAGCTGAGCTGCACTGACTCCTCCGAGGACTTGCTCTTTGCCTGTGAGGGTTTCAGGCCCAGCTGCTGTCTGGTTCTTGTTGGGATTGGGAACATGTAGAATTTTGGCCTGCACCTTGGGGAGGGTCACAAGTAGCGAAGGTGGACTGGGCTGGTCAGGGAGGCTGGGAAGGAGGGGGTCCATCAGGTCTTCATCACTGTCACCCCCCTGCATAAACGCCGGCGTTAAGAGGCAGTCCAGCTCATCGTCAAAGAGCTCTGAGAGTCGCTTGGGCTCGGTCTGTAGATACCGCTCCAACTCTAGACACGTCTGCAAGAGAAGCACAAACCGAGGGTCAATATTTGTATACCTTTAAAAAGAACAGTTGGCTATCACAGTTTATCCAGGATTATAACACGAGCTTCCTATTTTACAAACGCTCTTTAAACGACTGTAACTGTTACCGTTAGTGCTAAAACTCAAAGGGTTTTGGAAAGAAGAGAGGAGCTTTACGGAGGTTCACGGTGTACCAAAGCAACACAGGGACAAGCAGACAGAAAAATCAGCCCCTCCGAGGTGCGCTTCACATGACTGTGACTCCTCAATCACTCTGGGCACGAAATTCAAATGCTTTCCTAAAGATGAAAAATCATAAATAAGTCCTGCTGACCACTATGACACTTGTGTGATAAAGAGTTTAAAAAAGTAAATTTTCTCGTGTCCACAACTGACCACCTTGAGATTTTTGCCTATCCTGGTACTTTTACTGCTGACATAAAGTAAGGACAGTTATTGTTTTCATGCATGAAAAAGTTTGGCGTCAAATATTTGAACAAACAGCCAACGCACTGCCTGGTGTGATTTTTTTGTTTGGTTTTTTTGCACATTGCTATACTCAGTACGTTTCTCCAAACTGCAGACATTTCAGAGACCTTGTTTACCAGTCTGTTTAAGTTCAGATACCTGCTGTAGGCTTAATATTTCTCTGCAGCTGTTGACCATGTTACCTGGCACACGGCCGTCCTGAGAGAGGAGGGATTTAGCCTGTGATTGATTGCTGCTGCCCGGCCAAGCTCTCTGGAGCCCTGAACTGTGGAAGCCTTTCCTGTTCCCACCCCCGCTCACCCAAATCAACCAACCATGGACATTATATTGCAAGACAGGGAAAAGAAGGGAAGTCAGATGACAAGAGGACAAGTCCAAGAATGACACAGAGGAAGTAATGGAGACAAGGAGGGGAAAAAATAAGGAAAAATAAGCGAGTGATCCTAAAATTCTTTATTTATCAAGCAACAACAGAGACATCTGCACTTTTTTTAAAACCACTGTTCACTTGCTGTTGGCAGCATCACCACAGTTGTTGGTCTGCCAGCCTTCAGTGCCTCGGTCAAGGGCACCTGCCACATTATCTCAAGGGATCTGAGCCAAAAACCTTCCAGTCACTAACCTACTTTTACTACTGCGAGGCTGCACTTCTCCTTTGAAAACTTTTATGCTTTCTGTGATTCTTGTTTTGTCTCTGCTAAAAAACTACCTACTGCACTTTTCAGGTCTCAGAGAAGCTGTTCGATTGATCTTGTTGTTGCTTTGAACGTTCCGACCCACAACACAGCTTACTGCCGAAATCCCACCTGCATGTTCAGGCATGAAAAAAAAGGCATGTGTACCACCTATAGAGGTGCATGATCTAAAGAGATACAAGTAAAGCTCACACACCTGCTAATATGGGGGTTAGCTAAAAAACAGCCTTCATTAAAGAGTAAAAAGAGGGTAAGAGGAGAAACACTGAGAAGTACATATTACTGAATACAGAAACGGATACAAACCAGATGTTAGACCACAGGAGTTCAAAGCAGCAGCTACATTTTTATGATGTCTTATCACATTCTTTCATGTTTACAATAATAAGGCACTTTTGGTTTGGAAATGTAATCCTGAAAATACTTAAGGATGGAGTTCGTGACTGCTCAAAGTCAAATTTGATCCTGTTTTCATGAGGAAATGTTTTTGCTCTCTGTATTTTACTTTTTCATATTGGTGACACATCTTTCAATACACAACTTTAAGCAACAGAAGCTAATTTGGACTAAATTGTAGCTTCCCCTCAGCTCAGACTCAATCATACTGCGGTAACAAGCAGTAAATTAACTAACTAAGAATGGTCCCCGATGCAATGATCGGGGACCATTCTTAATTTCGTTGTTCTTGTGACAATGACAATAAAGTTTCTGATTCTGATTCTAAATTAAATTAATGTGCATAATTTTGGAGGCACTGAGGACTTTTACTCTCTATAAAGACCTTTGACGTGAGGGGTTTGCATTTGCATGTCATGAGTTTGCTTTTCCTTTAGTCTTTCCATCTTTGTCTCTATTCTTTAACTTCTATTGGAATGATTTTCCTCATAACGGTGAAAAGTTTACGAACATCATCCACAAAATGGGACGCTTATCTCGGAAACAGTAAACACTGGATGCCCGGACGCTGGTATATGTAGAAGACCAGACTGTGATATGATAAATGCAGCTAGTTTTGTATCTCATCAGAATGTGTTTCATAGAAAATACAGTTGGAAAACCTGGCTTCAAACCATGTAGTAGACAGAAATATGTTTTCAATGTCTGTGTTGCTGTTCGGTCTCACAGGAACTAAACAAAATGTTTTGATCTTTTTTCTTTATGTCAAAAGTCCCCCACTCTGTCCACTCAGCACTTTCTGAAAGCTACCTGGCTGTGGCACTGACTGTCCTGCTGCATGATGCATTTAATGTCTCCTCTTGGAAAATGAATTTCCTGCGTTTGGCCAACGGCCTTTGGCAGCCTCAAAGTTCTCATCCTGATCCTCTGGCTCCTTCCACCTCTGTCATTGAAGCAAATTACAGCTACTAGATAAATGTGTGTGTGTGTGTGTGTGTGTGTGTGTGTGTGTGTGTGTGTGTGTGTGTGTGTGTGTGTGTGTGTGTGTGTGTGTGTGTTTTAGCTGCAGCTGGTTGACTCCGTCCATTCAGACGGCCCGGCTCTGGAGCTTTACTTCGCTCAGCCTGAGTGATGAGGCAAACCAACACATTTAGTCACAACATCTGTTGAGTGGTGATAAGCTGAACTTCCTCTCCGTCTTTCTTTTCCCTTTTTTTCCTTCTGTTTAAAAGAATGCCCTTTCCCCCCCTAAGGATGCACATTTGCATCTGAATAAAAATCAAAGATATTTCTTAGGGGGTGGGGTTGGGGGGGCTTCCATAAAGAAACTTGAAAATGATAAGCATGTTTGTACCGACATCTTGCAACAATGACTTTTGTAAAGCTACCAGTGCTGCAAGGAAAAAACCTTCTTGTTAGCCTTTTGTCCAGACAGTTGCTTTGTTTTGTTAGCATTTGTGTTCAACTCATTCATTGCTGTGTGCAACACAACAGAGCAGGGCATGCTAAAGGGTCTGTTATATCTCCGTTTAAAGATTAGGTACCGCTAATGGATCAGGAAGCAAATCGAAACTCAGGCTGCCAACTGTTTTATGGTGAGATAAAAGAGCCTCATGCCTGGATATTGGAATAATGATTACAACGATAAGAAGCTCTACAAGAAAAAAATAATGAAATGACACATTAGTCACCTTCAATGATTTGAAACTTAATGGAAGAGGTTATTTGAGATGGCTTTGGATCTTTGAGAAAGGATTTAATTTTTCAATTTCTAAATAAAGACCAAACCAATAAATGTGGTAATTTAAACTTAATTTACCATTCTTGTTTTTTGTTGTTCTGATTGGATTCTGATTGAATTTAGTTGCTGAGATTTTAGGTTTTACAACAGAATCTGGCAGGTGCTGGAGAACTTGGTGCAATCCTGGTTTAATCCTAATCCTGGCATGAGCGACTGGAAGAAACAATGACTTATTTTCAACAGTATGAAATGAGTTTAGAAATGCTTAAAAAAACCTTTTCCCTCCATCTCCACATGGATTTGACAAATGTGACAACGCAGCATGTGATAAAAACTGAATGGAGAGAGAATATTTTCATATTTTCATGACAGGTCCTACTTTTTAACCTTTTTTTTCTGTGCTTTTGCTTCTTTATTAAAAACAAGTCTGTCTGAGTTGATTTTAATAACATTTTATAACTCAACGGGCTTAAGACGATATCGAGTTGTAAAGGTCATCTAAATGAGGAGCTCTGAATTTATGGGCTTCTTTGTTTGTGTGTTTGTTAATATTATTGGAGATTATGCCTTCATCCTGAGGGATTAGACTCTTAAAGCTTGCAGAGTACATGCAAAGTATTACTAGAGATAAAAAGAAAAGTTTTGCAAGATTTTCACTAAAACACTGTTATCCTCTCCGGATCTCAGCAGAATAAAGTTTGGCTGCTGTACTGTATGTGTTACATACATAATTCATCATCCTGGAACACAGCCGCCGAGCCATTAATATTAGCTTGCTTTGATACTGTAAATACAGCCTCTGTCAGTGATTTCTGAGAGCATGCTGTACTATTGTTTTATCTTGGACTAGAAATCAAAAATAGAAAGGTCTGCTTGTCTCCTGGTGGGGGCTGGACCGATGCTGACGATAGTGGGAGGTGGGTGGGGAAGACAGAGGGTAGAGGGAGCCCGAGGCTGTGCAAGAAGAGCGAGCGGCAATCAAACCCACGGCCAGCATTGAACGTGCCGCCTCTGACATCACACACATGACCTTCTCCTTCATCTGTCTCTCCTACACACCATGAATATCAGGTAACAATGACATGTTGGGCCTGCAGCATATTAGTGTGTGTGTGTGTGTGTGTGTGTGTGTGTGTGTGTGTGTGTGTGTGTGTGTGT